TATTTATTTATTTATTTATTTATTTTTGAAATAGGAAACAAAGTTATGTGTTTGTAGGAAGTAAAAACAAATTGCTTTTTTTGAAATTGTCGAATCAGACTTTACTAAGCAGCTGAGAACTGCAAGTTTCACAACATTTAGTCCAGGTCCTAATCTTGTGAAATACACTTCAAAAGTTATCAAGTATTTTTTAGTGTCTACAGCTCTTAGCTGCTTGATTTTAATGACGACATCTGCGCTCGCCCACTTTAGCTGTGCTGCCTATTAACTGTATAAATTAAAACTTTGTGTGAGATGTAAATAATCATTGGCAAAACAAATGGTCTATTATTGAGCAGCTAAATTATACGATATTGTTTCTAAATTAACTTTCAAAATTTAGAGATGCCTTGAAATATGCCTATAACAAATATGAAAACGAACCAAAGCTTGCCGGACGTCTAAAGCAAAACCGTCATAAGCCCAGCCACCAAATTTCATTAAGCATGTCTGGATATCGTATGGAAAGTATTCAATATTTATCTTAAAATTTTAAATTTGTTCAGCAAAGTACACACTTAGTTCAAACTGTTTAATCTGTCGATTGTGAAATAAAGCTGTTTTAAAAGCATTGTATAATTTCAATGCCTGGTAATAATAATTGTTTATCAACGTCTTCTTCGATGTAGAGCTAGAGTAAAGTAAAAACAAGCTAAAGTGAATTAATACTTCTTTAAGATTCAAAAAAGAGCCAAAATTTACCTCACAAAATGACTTATATATACTTGGAGGTTTCCAAACGATAGCTCCTGTATAGTGTACTAAAGCATCACTTGTTATCGATATGTGTGGTTCGCCATCAGCGCTGAAATGAATCAGTGGTATCAGGGGTGGTTAGTCATAAAGCATAATTTTAGCATTTATTATGAGTAGCAATAATACATCAGGTTATACATAAATAAACAGCTAAGCTTTGTATTACTGACTTCGTATAAAGAATAATATCTGGAATCCAAATTTGATCTGACGGAATATGTAGCTTTTCGATACCATTAAATTTTGCGGGATCCCAACGAAATCTGTAGTCATTCCATCTCTAAGTTAATATATGTTATAATTTTTACACATTTTTTGCTTCACTGAATTTATATATTTATTACTGCATCAGAATTCATTTTCATTTATTGACACATCGAATATG